GGCTAACAGCGGGAGCTTACCCTGCTCCCCGGATTCGAATCGCCAGCCTTTTGGTCAGCAAGTTAAGCAGCTCAGTGGTTTGATCCACTGAGTTATTGCATAGGTTTTTCTATACTATACCCTACTTCATTGGTCCATGAAAGTTTAATTGGGGCCTTTCACATTGCACAGTTAAAGCACTATTATTCCACTTTAACTGTCATCTACTTAGCAAATCATAGTACCAAGCCTGATTTTGAATTGTCTATTTACAATTCTCAGTCCGGCTGTGGTCGTATCATTTGCTAAGGAGAAGGTTTAAAGAACAACTTTTCTCCTATCTGACTTTAAAAAAAGAATTTAGAGTATCATCATGCAAAAGTGCCATTTCAGTAATGCACTGAAGCATTATAGCGCTATTAGTTTTAACAAGAAACGGTAATAGAAGAGAACATACTATTTGAGATGTTTCTGAATGAAAAAGGAGCCCATTCAAGGGTGAGAATTAAATGTTGCAGCTGGTGCCAGGTAGTCAAAAAACACAGGATAACAAAAATGTCTTTGTCATTTACTACTTCAGATGAGAAATAAATCTTAAGGCATAATATACATTCTGAGAAGCACATGGTTTTCTGTGATATCTAAGGACCCTTCCAGGCAAGCACTATATCCCAGGATCTGATCCCAGGTTTTCTGTTTATCCCAGATTATCTGGCAGTGCGGATTCATATAATCCAGGTTAAAGCAGAAAACCTGGGATCAGATCCTGGCATATAGGGCCTGTCTGGAAGGGACCTAGGATAAGATTGGGAAGCATATTTCCCATGTGCCAACTAAGAAAAGATGCAAGATACAACGTGATCTTGAATGCTACAGCAGAGCGTCTGCCTTTCATGCAACTGTGTTGGTACAATGGCATCACCTCAAGATGTGCAGTGCATCCTGATCACCTTTCAAGATTCTGCAGGTATTGTGGCCAAAAGACCTATGACAGGAAAGGTCATGCTCCCACCTTTGAAACATTACAGGAATCTGGAGGAGTCTAGTTGCAGGAGGAAGGTGGGCAGTACAGGTTCAGTGGTAAACATATGCCATTCTATTCTGATACAGAATACAAAAACATTCTTGAAATGTTGAATTGTGTGCCTATATATTTATAATTGCGTTTATTAAAGGTAAAGGTTTTCCCCTGACATTAAGTCCAGTCGTGTCCGACTCTGGGGGTTGGTGCTCCTCTTCATTTCTAAGCCAAAGAGCCGGCGTTGTCCATAGACACCTCCAAGGTCATGTGGCTGGCATGACCACATGGAGCACCATTACCTTCCCACTGGAGCGGTACGTATTGATCTACTCACATTTGCATGTTTTCGAACTGCTAGGTTGGTGGAAGCTGGGGCTAACAGCGGGAGCTCATCCCACTTTCTGGATTCGAACCACTGACCTTTTGGTCAGCAAGCTCAGCAGCTCAGCGGTTTAACCCACTGCGCCACCAGGGAGTTGTCAAGCTCCTGCCACTAGACCCTCCAGATTCCTGTAATGTTTTGAAGGTGGATGGATGACATTTCTTGCTATAGATCTTTTGGCACAATACCTGCAGAATCTTGAAAGGTGACCAGGATGCACTGCAGAGCTTGAGCTTTATTACACACTTTGAAATATAGCTCCACTAAATATGCCTAGAATGACCAGAAGATTATGGGAGGTATTGTTCTGTCGTGCGCTGGGCCTGTAAAGAACTTCCTTTACAAGAGGACATGCAAGCTTTGCCCAGTGGGAAGCCAGGAGGCCTAAGGAGAAGTTCTCAGTGGTTGTTTTTTTTTAACCACAAATAGTCTTTAGATGGCTTGTGAAATACAACAAAGTCTTTTATTAATGAACAATCAAACAGAAACTTCTCTTGTCTTCAGTAAAGTTAAGCAAATGATTCCAAGCTTTTAGGCAACTGGTGAATTCCTAATCTTGCCCATGAAGGACAGGCAACTGTCTTCAATAACTTCTTCTTTAAAGGAAAATCCCTTTTTTAACTTCTCCCAGGCTGACTGTAATCTAGCCCTTACTGATGTGGGCTCCGTTACCAGGTTGAACTGCTTCTCGAACGCTGAGTGGACTTACCAGTAAAGGCTTAGATGTTCTCCAGCTGGAGTTATTTGGTCTTTAGGGCTGTTTTCCTGGAAATTCTTAAAGGTTGAAGCTTTTGTACAGGGGAAGCTTGCACACGTCCTATACATTAGTTTTCCTTGCTGAGATTAACTAAAAAAAATGGCTCCCTTCCCTTCCCAATTGCCCTGAGCAAGGGGCGGGACCAAAACTTAACGATGATGGACAGGTGACCTGCCCTATGACTGCAACCAAAAGAAGCCACCTATCTGCAGAGTCCCTGAAACCCAGGACTGCAACCAAACATTTAATACAAAGCAAATAAATTTGGAGCTCCTGGTACAGTGGTACCAGAACAGGTATAGTCCAAAATATTTGTTCTGATATAACACAAACAAACACAAGCCCAACATGAACCATGACTTAAATCAAAGGAATAGTAGTTTGATGAGGCACCAGCACTCTTTGGCAGAGAAGACTAAAGACCTTATAAAACTACAGCTCCCAGGATCCCATAGTATTGAACCATGGCAGTTAAAAGTTGTATCAAACTGCATCAATTCTATAGTGTAGGTAAAGGTAAAGATTTCCGATGACATTAAGTTCAGTTGTGTCCAACTCTGGGGGTTGGTGCTCATCTCCATTTCTAAAGCAAAGAGCTGGTGTTGTCCGTAGACACCTCCAAAGTCATGTAGCCAGCAGTACCTATAGATCCACTCACATTTGCATGTTTTTGAACTACTAGGTTAGCAGAAGCTGGAACTAACAGCGGGAGCTCACACCACTCCCCGGATTCGAACCTGAGACCTTTCGATCAGCAAGCTCAGCAGCTCAGCGGTTAAACCCACTGCACCACCAGAGGCTTCTATAAGTGTAGAGCCCCCCAAGTCTTTAATCTTTACACAAAATATTCCAAGAATGCAATTTAATTGCCTTCTGACCAGAACAGATTGATAATCGCTTAGTTTCCACCGCCTATCTAACCTAGTCTGCCAACAATCCCCTCTGGCTTTCCACCCCCTTATGTATAATCTGAATCTGAATTCCTTCATGCTAGAACACTCACAAAATTGTTTGGTATGATTTAATAGCGTAACAAATGTAATTCACACAACGGAATAACCATGGCAAGGACGGCCTATTAATTAGGCAGGAAATTATCTTACAAGTTCATTAATATGAATTAATGGGTGACATTTAAACACCATGCTGCAGCTCGGGTGGAAGATTGCTTAACCATCATTGTTCTAGCTTAAAGATGTCACAAATAAATTGGTCTGGTGTGGTGCAGAGCAAGGGCAAGACCTCTGTAGCCTCAAACATCGACTGCAGCACTTTGATAGACGATAGGATTGCCAGTTGAAAAAAGGGACAGTGTTGAGAAGGAGAGGGAATTTCAGCAGGTATTCTTTGCATGTCACTGGCAATTCTAAGGGAAGAACCAACTTCAAGGCTAGAAGGATGCTGTAGTTTTCCTATGGCAAAGGCTGCTCAATTTTCCAGCCACCACATCACAGTATCACAATGTCATCAAAATTAGATGCACACAACAGAGCATCGAAAGAAATGGATCTGCTATTTAGTTAACCTTGCAACGAAGAAGGAGAGCCTGGGAAATTACTATCAGAACAGGAGAGACCTGGATGGTGGAGATATCATATCTTTCCGGGCACGATCAAGGGGGGAAAAGTTTGTTGCTGCAACAAGGTTTTCTAATGTATGCAAGTGGCTTATAGAATATTTATTAATTTATTTACTGTATTTATATACTGCCTTTCTCACTTCTGGGAGGACTCAAGACCATTTACAACATTTTTTTTGTGTGTTAGGAGCGACTTGAGAAATTGCAAGTCGCTTCTGGTGTGAGAGGATTGGCCATCCACATTATCTGTTTTGAACTGAATTATATGATTCCACACTGCCATATAATCCAAAGAAGATAAACTGGATTTTATATAGCAGTGTCAATGCAGCCTCTATTTCCCTCTTTTTCTCCGACTTTGTATTCATTTTACTTCTGGCTGGATCAACCCTGCTATATAATCCAGAGTATAAAAGAAGATGAACGTCTGCTTTCAACTGTATTATATGAGTCTATGTTGCCAAATAATCCAGTGCAAAGCAGATAATCTGGATTTTATATGGCAGTGTAGATCCAGCTATAGTTGCTGAAACCTGAGCCTGGATCTACACTGCCCTATATTTCAGGATCTGATCCCTGATTATCTCCTTGTCCCAGATTATCAGGCAGTGTAGACTCAGAGTCCTTCCACACAGCTATATAACCCAGAATATTAAGGCAAATAATTCACAATATCTGCTTTGAACTGGGTTGTCGGAGTCCACTCTGCCATATTATCCAGTTCAATGTGGATTTTATACAGCTGTGTAGAAGGGGCCTCATATAATCCAGTTGAAAGCAAATAATTTGGGATCAGATTCTGGGATATAGGGCAGTGTAGATCCAGCCTGAGTTCACAATGCAGAGGTGTACTCAACTTTGAAGTGGGGAAAGGGGAGGACAAGGCATTTTGCCCTTCCCAGTAGGGTCAGGCAAAAGCAAACTGCTGCAGCCTCTTCTAGTTTATATGTCCTAGCTTTCAGCTGTGAGATATTGGAGTGTATGGACTATTTTATATTCCTTCCTCCCTCTGATTGTTCTCCTTCATTTGGCAGTAGAGCTATCCACTACTTAAGTACCATTGCTGTTCCTCTCTTTGCCAACAGATAGGAACACTTGGCAGTGAAATCTAACGTCTGAAGTCCAACCTCTAATTGCAAAATTTAGAGAGCAAGTCAGTGGTCTCCAAGGCTTCAGCAATCACTTGCTTTCTTTGCATCACTTGTTTTCACATATGGCTGTTTGTCCATAAAGCAGGATGGAAAGGCAGCTTGCCAGAGTCAAGAAATGTGAATACACTTACCAGTGATGTTGGTGATAGAGGACAGGTTCTCACAGCGTTCATCCTGAATGGAAGCTGCAGCCAGGTTGATCCAGAAGAAAATAAGCTGTGTATGAAGGAGAGGAAAGAAGCTGTAAAACTGTAAAGAGGAAATGGGCTATATCCCCCCTCTTTTCTTACCATCTCATCACATTGAGAGGGAAAAGCATAAAACCCTGGCTGGCTCTACACTTTAGAATTAAGGCAGTTTGACACCATTTTAACTGCCACAGCTCAATGCTCACTCCTGGGAGTTGTCGTTTGATGATACACACCACATTCTCCGACAGAGAAAGCTTAAGACCTTGTAAAACTACAGCTCCCATAATTCCATAGCATTGAGCTATGGCAGTAAAAGTGGTGTCAAAGCGCATGTATTCTTCAGTGCACATACAACCTAATTCTCTCAAAAGTTCTTGCTTACCCTCTCTCATATGACACTTCAGATGACAGACCAGAAGATGACTGATTTTTAAAGGTTGAGTAGATAACGTCATTGTCATCATCATCATCGTCGTCGTCATCATTATCATCATCACCAACACCATCATTATAATCAAGAACTGCCTGAATATTATGCAAAAAGTGGATGCTAGAAACAATATCATACGATAGCTGACTGGCACAATCTGGGAATCACAACCAGACACAGTGAAGACATCTGCCCTTGCGCTTTGCTCCTCTGTTGCTGAGTATGCATTCCCAGTGTGGAACACATCTCAGCACACTAAAACAGTGGATGTGGCTCTTAATGTGACATGCCACATTATCACGGGGTGTCTGTGCCCTACAGCACTGGAGAAATTACATGGTTTAACCGGTATTGCACCACCTGACATCCGCCGGGAAGTAGCAACCAATAGTGAGAGGACCAAGGCAGTGACATCTCCGGCCCATCTCCTTTTTGGGTATCAACCAGCATGCCAATGACCAGGCCCGTAGCCAGGATTTCGTTTCGGGGGGGGGGGGGGGGGGGGGGTTCGGGGGGGGGGGGGGGGCTGAGTCTGAGTGAAAGAGGGTCTAGCCTAGCAAACCTTTTGTATCATTACCCCAATACCCCATGCATATGGGATATATTGAGTATGGTGATCAGATCATGATATGAATAAACATAACAGTTTAAATAATGCACCAGTAAGGCCTTTTCGCGAACCACCATGAGAATTTTGGGGGCGGGGAGGGGGGGGGAGGCTGAAGCCCCTATCTCCCAGCATGCCAGACTTAAATCAAGAAATAGTTTTCTGAGATCTACAGAGACACTCGCTGGAACACCTCAGCAAGCGAGAGTCCAAAAGTGGCAGGCTCAAACCCAGAACCTCAATCAATGACTGATACCAAATGAGAGACTCCCCCCTGGACACACAGAAGACTGGGCGACTAGGAAGGTGCTGAACAAACTGTGCTCTGGCACCACGAGATGCAGAGCCAACCTTAAGAAATGGGACTACAAAGTGAAGTCCATGACATGCAAGTGTGTAGAGGAGCAAACCACAGACCACCTACTACAATGCAACCTGAGCCTTGCCACATGCACAGTGGAGGACCTTCTTATAGCAACACCAGAGGCACAACTACTGGTCAAAGGAATGCCAAGTTTGCAAACTGTGTGTTTTTTTTAATACAACTGTTTGGTTTGCTTCTAACACAATAAATAAATAAAATAATTATAATCATCATAATCATCCTCTTTTCCCCAATACTGAGGAATAATTTTACAAATTATTACAGTAAAAATTTATTAAAAACATCATATACTCATACACACTCACTCACTGTCTCATACATTAAATATTGCAGTTATAGATTTCTAATCTTGCTAGGGTGCATCTACACTGTAGAATTAATGCAGTTTGACCCTACCTTGACTGCCATGACTCAACTCCAATCCTGGGAGTTGTAGTTTGGTGAGACACTGGCACTATTTGACAGAGAAGGCTACAGGCCATGTAAAACTTCCATGTTTCCCTAGCATTTAATTATGGAAGTAAAAGTGAAGTCAAACTGCATTAATTTTACAGTGTAGATGCACCCCTAGAGTTACAGATCTGCAATTGCTCCCTATTCCAGAAACTGATGTAAGTTTACTGTTAGACTATGTAAATAATACCCCCTAGCAGCCCATCTTAACAGTGACCAGCTAGATAAGACAAAGGATATCTGTTCACAATTCCTTTTAGCCTGGAGTGATGATTTAGAAGGGGTTTAGAAGCATCCTTGCATCATGTTTGGCACCTTTTTCCTATGCGGCTGCTGGGAAATGTATGGGACTGAGCATAGCTAAGTGGCCAATGTAGAATATTGGTGATCTATATGTCATTTTCAAAACAATTAAACAGTCTATAGATTTATACCCATTTAAAATTCATTAAAAGACACAATAGAGAAAAATCAACAGAGCAGCACATTAAATGTCCATTGTAGTCAATTCCTAAAAGCCTGATTGGAATAGGAAATACTTTATTTTCTGGCAGAAGAAGAGCAAGGAAGAGAAACAAGGATTGGTTGCACTATTTTTACAGAATTTGAGAAAGTTATTTTTATCACCTCTTCCAGAACCTTAGCAAATGTTTTAGAAAGCAGGATTGTCAAAAAGCCGAAGAAGAAAAATCACAATATTTGCTAAAAAATGGGTCATTCAAAGGTTGAATAGGGCATTTCCATTTTTAATAAAATGTAACATTTCTGGAGGTGAATTTTATCTAAAGAGTTGAGTTGCTTTAGGGTTGTTGGCGTGCTTTGATCAGTTTGGCAGGCATTGTACAACAAGACTCGAAGGTTATCATTTGTCAAGTACCATCAAAAACGAAAAAATATAACTGCATGTCATCTATCAACTATTTGTCAAATATCATCCTATCAGGGAGTGAAATTAAATGTCATGAGATATCAATACAGATGGGGTTTGTACCTTGGTCAGGCGAGTGATGGGTTTACTGTCCCATTTGAATGGAAAAAAATGAATCACCCTGCCTAAGGATTCTTTTATAAATAAGTTTTTAAAATGTGTGACACAAGACTTTATAACCTGAAAAGCCAGAGCTTATTTAAACAGGTGGCAGTTTAACATGCAATACAAAATAAAATGAACTTTGCTGCATAACAAATCAAAAGCCCAGCTTTTGAGCTTTTCCAACTTAGTGACTTTCAGAGGAGTTGTACTCCAACTCCCACCATCTCCAGCAAGCATGAGAAAAGTTTAAGTGGGTTTTTTTTAAAAAAAAAATGATGGGGATGGAAATAAGCTTAAAGGCTAGAGAGTTTTTACCCCAGGAAAAGATGCCCACATTAAGTAGGTTGCATAGTAAAAGTAAAGGTAAATGTTTTCCCGTGACATTAAGTCTAGTCATGTCCAACTCTGGGGTGGTGGTGCTCATCTCCATTTCTAAGCTGAAGAGCCGGCGTTGTCCATAAACGTCTCCTAGGTCATGTGATCGGTATGACTGCATGGAGTGCCTATTGATCTACTCATCTTTTTATGTTTTCGAACTGCTAGGTTGACAGAAGCTAACAGCAGGAGCTCACCCCGCTCCCTGCATTTGAACCACCAACCTTTCAGTCAGTAAGTTCAGCAGCTCAGCAGTTTAACCTGCTGCACCACCACAACCCGTGGTAGGTTGCGTAATAACTGCAAATGTACGATAGATGGACAGTTGTTGAGTGTAGGTGAAAAGCATAGCCAGAAAGCTTTAAAAATCAAAACACTCTGAATAGACAAGTAACAAAACGTCGTTTACTAAAAATTAGCATTCCTTTCTTTTCTACGTAACCAAAGGATCTTGGCTGGAATCCTTTGGCATGGTAAACATACGTTACCTGAATACTAGAAGCATTTAGAAAAAACATTTAATGTTTTGTGAAGATGCATAGCAGAACCATTAGAAAGAGTGCACTGATATGCATGAGCACTTCCAATGTGTCAGTATCCAAAGTCACAATGATCCTGATGTGCATTTGTCAGTCACTTTATTGGGGGTGGATCTACACTGCCATATAATCCAGATCATCAAATCGGATAATACAGATTATCGATTTTGGATTATATGAGTCTACACTACAATGTAATAACAATAACAATAATAACAATAACCTTATTTCTAGATTGCTCTCTTCCTGGAGGGACTCAGGGTGGTTTACACGTAAAAAGGCAAACATTTGATGTCTTGAATTGGGTACAAACACATCAAAATAATACAGAATAATGGATAATAACAACAGAAAACTTACAGTGAAGGAACTAAGCAACAGGAACAATCCACTAAGACATAAAGAGCTAAAACATAAGTAAACATTACAATATACGCGTACACCCTAAAACCAAATTAAGAGACATTACACTCAAAGTAGATACTCTGGATTTTATATGGCAGTGTAGATGGGGCCTGGGTCTCCCCATATTGTAACAGCATCACTGGATACAGATGTTATAAAATTGCCTAGTTCTAATTCCTGGAGAACTGTGTTTGCTTATGAAAGATGTAAGTCCCAGCAGGATTGTGTGTATTCACTAGTGGTTTCTCCCTGACTTATTTCAGAAGGACATTGTCCAGTGTAAAGAGAAAGTTGGGGAGAAGCAAACAAAGATGATTATCCACTTATGTTCCCACACGCCCACGAATAGCCCACTGCTTACATTTTTTTACACTGCAGTTGTAGTACTGATAAGTTTTTGCAGCAATTGGAGTAAGACAGGATGAAGAGGGGTGGAAATAGGAAGAGAGAACTGAGCGAACATTTTCAAAGCAGGTGAAAAAAAAATGGGATAACAGAGAATTAATCAAGGCTTCCGCTGCCAAATCAGGCTAGCTGATGGTGCACCATTATTATTTTGGTATCTTGTTAAAAAGTTAGTAAATCTGACAGTTTTTGTTCTTCATTTTGTTACTAATGCATTTTGCAGTTAAGATGGACGAAAAATAACCAAGCTATTTAACAGTCAGCAGGAAAATGTTACAAAATAATGAATGACTTGCAGGGAATAACTCTGAAAGTACAGAGCCATCCAATTAATCTAACAACAGCCTGTAGTGTTATGAGAATACCAGGAAATGTAAAGAATTTCAACCGAAT